GACACAATTAAAACACCAAACCATTTTCTAAGATACAAAAGCAAAGACATGAACTCACTTTCTAATTACCCTTTTCTGTTTTCTTACTGTTAAACATGATTCAATGTTGTTTGGAGAGGAATACAAATGCCGATTTCAAGATTTTTGCATCCATGGATGAGTGCAGACTGAAGAAAAAGATGGGAGTGTAGGAGGAAGGGATATCAACTACAACAAGAAAAGCACTTCAAACAATCCTCAACCCACGATTTAAGAAATATTCTTACAAACGCTCCGTTAAATTCATGAATAAATTCTAGGAAGTATGTTGCTGGCGCTCAACTAACAGGTCACATTGCATTTTATAACATTTTCATTGGCATATCAATCGTAACACTTTCATTTTTTTCTTTGGGAACCCTAGTTCAACCTTGCATGGTAAGGGTCCTTCGCTGCATCAAAAGAAGCACTCGGCTAAGCGAAAATTGCCATAGTCTGAACAAGAGGATGATCTCAAACACAGGTACAACTTTTTAACTCCGGTATTACATCAGGGCTTGTGCATCTTGAAGCCAAAAACTCTTGGGGTGTAGTTTTGCGTTGGCTTTTGCGGCTTTAGGTGACCATATGACATCAGAAATAGATGTGGGAATGTTGTTCCGAAATAAGCTCCATCAATATCTTGTTTAATGTCAAGAAAATTAAGCTGTAAAAATCAATGTAATACAAACATGATCTGGTAACAGGAAACATGGAAGAACTATAAAGTCATTGCAATGTTTGATTCCTCCTACCCAAGATACACTAAAATTACAAGACCTCTTACATTTCCAAAGATATCAACAAAGGGCATTTGGGAACATAAACTAATTTCTCACCCCATAATTGACAGCAGGAAGATATGAGATTCATGAGCAGAGGCACCCTAGCATTGGCTAACTTCACACTATTGTTCATCATAAAAATTCCTTAATAGTTTTAAGATTCTAGAAAATCCTACTAAAATCATAATCTTCGAGATGGAACACGGGAATATATTCACAATGCAGAGACAAATGAAGAAAAACCAAAAAAGGAAAAGATTTGGGTGTCTCCCACTAAAGTAGGAGCACACTTGACCCCACCAAACCCAGCATCATATATGGGGGGAAGAATGTGGTAAAAGAAACAAAAACTAATTTAGGAAAGAATGTACTGAAATTCATACATCCAAATAATTCAAATTCTGATTGTCATGATAAAAATTAACAAAATTAACTCCAATCACCATAATAATCCTCTAAGATAAAATATTTATGATTGACTTGAGGTGCAATATGATCTAGGGGATTCTATGTATACATGAAATGATTGTATTCTCTGCTCAAACAATATGTAATTTTATATGCCATAGTTGGGGCCAAACTTTATGTGCAAGGACAAGGAGCGCAGTCAAAATCACAGGTATGATTAATTTCAGACATCTTACCTAAGAAACAAGTTCTTTGATCCTAGTCGGATGTATGCCTAATGCCACAAGCATAATATAGTAGAGAAACCAACTTATATGTAATTTAGTTATAAAAAAACCAGTAAAATAGTAGATAAAATAAAAAGGATACTGCCTTGATACTTGGATCGAGGATAATATATATCTTCACATTTTGGACAATAGATTTTCACAGTACTTGAACGAGGAATATCTGACTGACCAACTGGAAGACAAGGTTGTCCACAGCAGTAAACTCTTGGGCATCTCCCAAAGTCATAGTTTTTGTATTTCTCCAACTGAAATAAAGTTGCAAGTAAAACTTTGTAAACAGATATGACACAGTCAATAGAAAGTAAAAGATAACAGGATAAATGACAGCATTATTACCATAGCAGACATTCCCTTGCTAGTTAATATGTAACGGACATGTATAAGACCATACAACATCTCAGCTGCTGACTCAACCAATTCATTCTGTTCTTCAGTGAACATATCACCTATAAAACCCAAAAGACATTTACGTTAGCAAGAACCAGCATGCATTGATGAATGTTGAATATCAAGAAAGGAAAGTAGGAGCCATATTTACAAAAACAAAAAACACTGATATTTAAAGCAAACAGAGACACATGACAGCTACAATGCAAAGCAACATTAAAAATGCGAGGAAAATCAATAAATGTAGATAGTAACATTATGACTGCAAACTATAAGGTCAGAAATGCTATGAAACGCAATATATTTCCTCAATCCACTAAGCATAACATTCCAAATGTTAACTTTCTGCAGCAAAAAATCAAAGTAAAAAGAAAAAGCTTTTCAAAATTACAAGCATTCGCTCAAGCAAGCATAGGATTTCTATGCAGATATGCAGAACAATAAGACTACAGTTGTGCATTCTAAATCCTACAGATACTAAAGATGTCACAATCACTGGAAAAAGAAAGGTACATAATCAGTTTAGTAACAGGATATAGTCAAATTAATATCCAGTGAGTTATAGAGTCAGTCAAGAGTCTTCTTATGTGAGGGATCACAATTAACCAAACTACCAAAGTTCACTTGGCTGTCTTACACCTTATTTCCCAGAAAACTTTCATCTATCCTTCTAAACGCTGTCCTGGCCAGAATCCTCATGAAGCACAAAAAAAAAAAGTCCAGACACCCCGGTGAATAAATTTATGGATCAAGGAGGCCAAAATATCTGCTAAGCACCGGTCCAATTTTGGAAACTAATAGCACTTCCTCGATTTAATATTAAATCATCCAAAATTTATATACGCAATCCAAGTCACCTAATGAAATGCTTACCATGAGAAGATTCAACGTCCAATATTAAATCAAGTGCATAGTCATAATACGGAACTTGACTGCTCAACCCACAAAGATTAAAGTCATCTTGGATGTATTCATCATCAACTTCACAGAAAAACTCATTGCCTCGCAAATTACAAAACCATGAGATCCAAGACGTGTCATCTCCGTCTGAACCACTAACATCTGATTCTTCACTGTCTGTTTCAGATTCCTCTGCAATCAACGACAGTATTAGCACATAATTGAGAAGAAACTCAAATTAATTATTTGCTTATTAGTCATGATTGATGATACGAATAGTCTCCATTGTGTCTTATGTAAAATGCCATCACAAGAAGGAAATAAATTAACTAGGGATTATAACTAGCTAAAACTTTGGAACTAATATTGATATCACATCACCTAGGTTAAAAACCAACGCTAGCATACTAGGAAAAGACACAAGACTTGAAATTTACGATATCAAATAAAGGAAGAAAAAAATACCCTCAATGAACAGCCGTTTAACATACAAAATTTTCTTCAAGATATATCAGACAATGCATCAAATTGCCAAACTTTCAATTATGGAAACACATTGCTCAAGTATGTTTATAGCCCCCTTCGGCATAAAAAACCTACCAACAATCCCATTTTCGGTAAGCTAAGATCCCAAGCATTTGGCTTTAACAATGCACTTCATAAATGGAAATGATTACGCACAAATTTCTGCAAACAATCTTACTTAATAATGTAATTAGCAGTTAACCACTTCTTTATCGGCTCAGAGCTGCCCAAAAACTCTTCAAAGCCCAGATCCTACCAAACCAAATTAACTCAAAAAAAGCCAATGCATCCTAAATAAACACGCAATTCACCAAAAACTAATGGAAGAACAAAACAGGAACAAAGAAAGAAAGTGACTGACAAGTAAGCAACTAACCATCAGAACATTTGGCTTTGGAGAGAGCTGCAGAGCGCGAATCACGATGATCAAGCTGGGATTTTCCAGTGGAAGTTGAAGGAACAGAGGATCTTTCTTTGTCTTTGCTGTTCAAGCCCCTCGAAGTGGACGGAGACGACTTCTCTAGATGCTTGTCCAGCGCATCGTTTATGCGCTTCCGATCCAAAGGCACTAGCTCCGATTTCGACGAACCCCCTCCTCGATCCCTATGACTATACATAACTTTTCGTCTTTTTATCACCTCCCAAAATTTCAAAAGCCCAGAACTTTGTCAGTATTAACGGAGGGACAAAAATCAAGCTTTCCGGAGATGCATCGCGTTGTGAGTAGACAGAGAGAGAGTGAGTGAGAACAAGAAGAAACCCTAGATTTGCGAAATCAGGGGTTTTGCAGTTTGAGGATGAGACGGCGGCGTTTTAGGTGGAAAATGAAAAGGAGATCGAGATTGAAGGAAGTGGATTTGAGAAAGAGAGGATGAAAAAGTCTGGGTCTTGAAGAGAGAGACGGTGAAAACTAGGGTTTCTATACGAGAAAGGGAGAGATATAGAGATAGACGAGCTCCTCAAGGTGCCCTCTGTCTCTCTTGCTTTCTTGTCCTTGGTGGTGGCTTGGTGCTTCCCTTCTTTTCCTTTCTTTTTTCCAATTTTCCTTTTTTTTGTCCTGGGAGATATTTTTAAAATTTTTGTTGCTTTTTTTTTGAAAAAAAATGGATTCCATGGACAGGGCACTTAGCCCCATACTCAAGCCCATTAAAAAAATCAAGCTTTGCCCACAATGCATAAGTATTTATGTAAATATGTTAGTTCCAGTGTGAATCCAAAAGACATGTCAATTTCCTTATTTATAAATCAAAATCGATTTCATCTCTTATTAATTTAAAATTTATAATATTTTATTTTATTTTATTGTCATTAATAGAGAAAAGAAACTCACTTTTATTTAAGTTTATTTTGATTGAATTCTTATATCAATAAAAAATTAAATAAATTATAATGCTACTTATTACGAACTCATATTTTCGATTTAAAACATATGATTTTGCATTAAATCTATTTCTACTCATGGTGTATCCAAAAGAAACAATGTTAACAGTGGTGATTATCCTCCAAAAAAAATTGGGGTATATTTTTTGTATGTATCTTGTCTCCCCTGAATGTTATCCCATGATTAAATCCAATAAAAATCAAAGCTTTGGAAGTAATTTTGAAGTGCAGGGTCACCTTCTTGCAAAAAATTAGCAGTGATTTTGTCGTTACTGGGCAAGTAGTATAATTTATTAATTGTGTTGGGTAGGTTGCTAGGAAAGAATACTAGGAAAGAGGGGAGCAACAGGAACAGGGAATAGAGAGAGACAGAGAGAGCAAGGAGTGAAAGAAAATGGAAGGAGAGCTAAATCTAATGGTTAAGTTGATTTTGTCAATTGTGTTGGGTGGATTTGTGGGGTTGCTTTGTTTTCTTTACAATGGCGTGTTGATGAAGCCAAAAAAGCTGAGATTGAAGCTTGAAAATCAAGGAATCAAAGGGCCATGCCCTTCCCTTTTGTATGGGAATATACATGAAATGAAAAGGATCCAACTTGAAGCTCTGTCTGCTGCAAGCTCCACTCAGAAAGATCACCAAGCTGCAATTGCTCATGACTGGTTTCCCAGTCTCTTTCCTTACTTGGACAAGTGGAGAAATGAATATGGTAGGTGCTTTATTTATCATTCTGTTATTACTTGTTTAGATTCAACCACCCATTATCCACCTGTTCGTCCCCTTGGGAAGCAAGAACATGGAGTGGTACAGTCATCTAGAGCCTTTTCCGGTCAAGATAGTTATTGAGTTTGCAAATGTTAGAGTTGACCTTTTGGCTATTTTGATCTTTGTTAGTGCTCTCTGCTTAGCAGTCAACTAGCAAGGCTTTGTTTCAGACATGAATGAAAGAAAAAAAAAAAAGACCTCCCTTTTGACCTCCTCTTCTCTCAATTTCCCCTTCTTTCTTTCGTAGATTACAGCTCTGCTGCCTTCACCTAGCTTTTCTGGTGGACAGGGTCTGTATTCTTGTATTCAACTGGAAACCTGCAGCTGCTCTGCACAACAGATATGGAAATGGTGAAGGAAATAGGCCTACACAAGTCTTTAAGCTTAGGGAAACCGTCCTATCTAACTAAGGACCGGGGGCCTCTGCTGGGACAAGGCATTCTATCGTCAAGTGGCCCCATTTGGGCCCACCAACGAAAAATCATTGCTCCTGAATTCTTTCCTGACAGGGTTAAGGTAACTCCCCCACCCTTCCAAGCAGCTCTGTTCTGTCCACATTTCATTTTACAAGCATGTCTTACATCATTTTCTACATATAAAAATGTGTTTAAAGGGCATGGTGAACCTAATGGTGGATGCTACGACTTCATTGCTAAATACTTGGGAAAGTAGAGTTGAACAGGAGGGTGGCATTTTAGAAATTGTAGTTGATGAGGATTTGAGAAGCTTGTCTGCTGATATAATCTCAAGAGCTTGTTTCGGCAGCAATTACTCCAAAGGGGAAGAAATATTTTCCAAGCTAAAGGCACTCCAAATGGCAATGTCCAAGGCCAACATTGGGATTCCTGGCATGAGGTATGAATTCTCACCTAAAACATTCATGAAAAATCAATTTAATATACGTGTGTGAACTTTGCTGTCACAAAATGTTGAAGGTACTTGCCAAGCAAACACAACAGAGAGATATGGAAATTAGAGAAAGAGATTGACTCTATGATATTGAAGGTGGTAAAACAACGCATCGAGGAGGGTATCCATGAGAAGGATCTTTTACAAATGATACTCGAGGGTGCTAAAAGTTGTGATGATTATAAGGGATTATCTGAGGAGAGGTTCATAGTTGATAATTGCAAGAATATGTACTTTGCTGGTTATGAAACCACTGCTACCACAGCTTCTTGGACCTTGATGTTGTTAGCTACAAATCCAGATTGGGAGGCTCGCGTTCGTGCTGAGGTGCTTGAAACTTGTAAAGATGGCCTTCCAGATGCTGATGCGCTTACAAACATGAAGATGGTATGTTAACATATGAACAAGCTTTACATGAATCATCAAGTTGCATGCAAAGAGAATGAATTGTATTCTGATTCTGAATTTTTTTGTTCTTGTAATGTTTATATTGACAGCTCACTATGGTAATTCAAGAGACATTACGCCTATACCCGCCTGCAACTTTTGTGATAAGACAAGCGCTAGAAGACATTGATTTCAAAGGCATCATAATCCCAAAAGACATGAACATCCAAATTCCTATCCCAGCCTTACAACAATCCCTGGATCTGTGGGGTCCTGATGCACACGAGTTTAATCCAGAAAGATTTGCTAATGGAGTTGTTGAGGCTTGCAAGGTTCCACAGGCTTACATGCCATTTGGTGTTGGGGCTCGAATATGCGCAGGACAACACTTTGCCATGACAGAACTGAAGGTGGCTCTATCTCTACTTTTATCAAGGTTCAGCTTCTCTGTGTCACCAGCATACTGTCACTCCCCTGCATTTAGGCTAGTTATACAACCTGAACATGGAATCTGTCTCCATGTAAAGAGAGTTTAAGAGACTAAATTCATGAAACAGGGTGAATTCATTGCAGCTGATGAAGGAAATCAAAAAACTATAATTGAGCTCATTTTTCCCATTTTTTGTCCCCTCCCTTCTGGTAGAGAGAGTGATTGTTATTTGTTGGTTAATGCCTTTGCCCTGAACCTAAGCTTTGATAAGTTGGCTAATTATTAAATGACGTTGGCTTCCAGGTTTGACCAGTTAAAATTTCAAAAGCATGATGAATTTTATAAGATGGGATAGTTTCGTTGATCATTGACCACTGAATTTCCTTCAGTTTCTTTAACAAAAGGTTGCTTTATAGTTCTTCGGCTAAAAGTTGCACTTTTTTTTTTTGAAATGCAAGTTGCAATTCAGTTCCTTGTTACAAGACTGTATCAATCATTTCCTTGAGCTGTGATTATTTTTCATTTAAACACTCCTAATAAAATACAATACTGCATGAGGACGAAGGATCATCAAGAACAAGCAACCTCATGTTAAATATAATTTTAGTACAGATATCCTGTCAAAATATTAAGAACAAAATTTGATCAAAGATGCGTTTCAAGTCATGGAAATCATATATAAATGTGTGTATAACGATACCTTTGACTAAGAATTGAAGAAGTCTCAGCCTGATGCAATAAAGGAGAGAAGAAGAAGATAAAAGGGCAAAGAAATTCAAGCAGAGCCAATGTGCAATGGCAGAGACCATTTACTAGTAGTGGTTACCGGCCTGGTTGTGTTGGCCGTGCATTTTGTTAATGCATTGATTTTGAAACCGGAAAGGCTGAGGTCAAAGCTGCAAGAGCAAGGGATCAAAGGGCCTCCTCCTGCTTTTCTATTGGGAAACATCCTGGACATCAAGAGGATTGAATCCTCACAAAGATCTTCAAGCAACCTAATGCACATCTTGATCATGCTTGGCCTTTGAAGGCCTACCCTTACATCGAGCAGTGGCGAGATGAATATGGTATGCAGCCCAAACTTCAGTTTTTTGGTAACAACTGATCAAGTAAGCTAGTTTCAATCTAATATGTTGGGTTACAAATTGTTGACGGGACCTGTCTTCATGTATTCAACTGGAAACATACAGTTTCTGTGCGTGACAGACGTGGAGATGGTAAAGGAAATTAACCTCTGCACTTCTTTAAGCATAGGCAAGCCTTCTTTCCTTTCCAATACTTCGGCCCTCTGCTTGGCGAGGGTATTCTAGCATCAAGTGGCCCACTCTGGGCTCACCACAGAAATATTATTGCTCCTGAACTGTATATTGACAAGGTTAAGGTACAATTCCCACCTGCTGATGTATATCGCTGTGGTGATTTTCGACTTTTGATGCATATGCAGTACAGACAATTTCTTCAACCATGTTCGAGTGAATAGATTCTAATTTTTATTAAAGGGCATAGTGAACCTGATGGTGGAGTCGACCAACTCAATGGTAAAATCTTGGGAGAATCGAGTAGAAGGAAAGGGAGGCCTGGCAGAAATTGAAGTTGATCAGGATTTAAGAAGCCTGTCTGCAGATATAATCTCAAGAGCTTGTTTTGGAAGCTACTCTAAAGGGGAAGAAATATTCTTTCAGATCAGAACTCTTCAAAAGGTCTTGCCCAAAGGCAAAAGTATCATGGAGGTACCCGGTTTAAGGTATGAATTTTATGTTATGCATCAAGGCATTGTGGATGCCTCTTTCTTCTGTTTCTATATACAATTGCAGGCTCTTGCCGACCAAGAACAATAGAGAGAAATGGAGATTGGAGAAAGAGGTGAAGTCAAAGATATTGGAAGTGGTAAAACAGCGCATTGAGGCAGGACATGAGAAGGATCTGCTGCAAATGATTCTTGAGGGTGCCAAAACCATTGTTGACCGTGGCGGACTGTCCTCAGACAAATTTGTGGTGGATAACTGCAAGAACATATATTATGCAGGTCATGAGACCACCGCCATGACAGCCTCATGGTGCTTGGTGTTGTTAGCCGCACATCCAGTTTGGCAGGTCCTCAAAATCTGTAAAGATGGCATTCTAGAAGCTGATATGCTTCGAAGCATGAAAGTGATGAGTAAGTTTACACCCTTTTTAACTGTCGTTTAATTTCAGCTGGTCTGCGTTTCCCATGAAATTGGATTTCATTGATGGTCACTTACTGATTCCATGGCAGCTTACAATGGTAATCCAAGAGACCCTGCGTCTTTACCCACCTGCAGTGTTCGTGATGAGGGAAGTCTTGCAAGATATCAAGTTCAGAGGCGTTATGATCCCCAAAGGCACAAACATTCAAACTCCAGTGGCGACACTACACCAAATCACTGATCTATGGGGGCCTGATGTACACCAGTTCAATCCTGAAAGATTTGCAGGGGGGGGTTCTCGGGCCTTGCAAGCACCCACAGGCTTACTTGCCACTCAGGGTTGGTGCTCGAACCTGTGCCGGGCAACACTTTGCCATGACAGAGCTGAAGGCTGTTCTATCTCTCATCTTGTCCAAGTTTAGCTTCTGCCTCTCCCCGACTCATCATCACTCTCCAGTGACCAGAATGGTTTTGGAGCCTGAACATGGAATTAGTCTCTATGTAAGGAGACTGTGACCTCCTATCATAGTATAAGAATAATTGCAGAGTTCTTGTGCTGCAGTATCGTTTTTAAATGAATTTTTTTGCTGTACTACCCAAACTCAAAGTTCAGGTTAGTTGATGAAAGCCATCATCAACATTCAAACAAAGAAATATATTAAAACATCAAACTCTAAAAAATTCAACTTTTTTCCACAATACCAGATTCAAGTCTAACGCACTTTTTGTCCTTTGAAAATATAGTAAGACACTCATAATATTCAAAATTAAAATATTTCGGGTGCAAATTTTGTGCGATTAATTTGATATTAAATGCAATTCAACTGCCATGGCATTCCCATCTGATTTTTCTTTAGGATGCTTGCCCAGGGAATTCTTGGGGGCTTGCAAGCAGCAACTCAGGCTTATATGCCATTCAAGTTGAATCTCTCACTGCTGCAGGCTGCAGGCTGCAGGAAAACATTTTGCTACTAATATACAGAACAGAGATTTCTTTCTACCAATCTAATTATTAGGCAAACCAAGATACTCTTCCAAATGGCTAAATCAAGCATGGTTGCCATTATTGAACACAATAAAAGAACATTGTATTGACTTTCTATATTCCATAAGATAGTCAGATTTATACAGATTTTTTGTCGAGATTCTGTTGAACTCTATAGCAATGGCACAGGAGAAAATGATCAAACCCCCTAGTAACTTATGAATTTCAGCTCCATAGAAATAAGGAAGAAAATCTCAAAAGGGATTTCATGAGAAGAAGGAGCGACTCTTGTTGCGTTCCAAACGAGCTTCCCTCTAACAAAAGAAAAAGAAAAAAGGTAATCGTAATAGTCAGTGCATTATAGCCAGGAGAAGCTAGTTCAACTTTGCATAGCTAAAGCTGCAGGTACAATAAAAGGGATATACACTAGAAATTACAATTGCAATACCTCCTTTTTCTTGCATTCCTTGTAAACATCAAAATGCTCTTGGCATTTACTCTTGTCCTTTGAGCCATATTCTTCCAGACCTGAGAACCGGGCCTTCAAGATTAAAATTTGGCCATATTTCAATCACAAATATGTTAATTTTAAGAGAAAAAAAACAAAGAATGTTAAGACATTGATGGGAATTGGTGAATATAAGAAAGAACACATTTTCTTTCAATCTTCCATGCTGTTTCTCCTTACTCCATGCGTGAAGAGTTGATAAATTATAACAATATTAGTTTTAAAATATCTAATCTACTCAGCTAAAAGCAACAAGGATTATCTTTGGTTAAATCATAAAAGGCTGCCAATCCATGTTTCAAGCATATGTGCATTGCTTACCAACAACTCTTCTATATAGAAGTGGGATTCAGTTCCATAAAGAGATCTTTACTCTATTAAGAGACCAGAAAATTCTAAAGCTCCAACCTCGCCATGGAAAACCGAATGCAACAGACAAGAATGAACAAGAAGTAAGCTGGTTACATTACATTTCAAACATCTCCTTTCTTTCCAACTAAAATCAAGTACTACTAGTAGTAGTAAGAAACTAATTAATCCTTCTCCTAATCAAGTAACTGTTATTACAACAGTAAATTGAAAAGTTTTCGTCAGGAAAAACAAAAGAAAATAAAGTCAGAGCCAAACAATATTTCATAATTCAAGAAAGGTAAAGTTTGAGCCTTTCTTTCTTCTCATATCTAATTTTCAACACCCAATCCAACAAAAATTCTGACTGTAGCATATAATGATCCAAAAACAGTAATCAATAACGAATGGTTTCATGGGAAAAGAGAGATTTTTTAAGGGGCGGGTCAAGACTTTAGAGAGTTAGCTTACATTTGAGAGAGGCAGTGTACTGAGGGAAGCACGGAGAATCGGCGATTCTTGCCGCACTCGGGTATGGAGGCGTTGCTGCAGCTCTTGATGACATGCCTATTTTTCTCTCACTATTTTCCTGGGAAACAAACAAGTTTTCGCCGTTCTGCTTATCGTGCTTTCGACCCGAGAGTCTGAAGCCACCGGAAGTCATGCGTTCTTACTCTGTCTAATGGGCCGAACCATTTCAGCCCAAAGTTTCCATTTTGAACTTTCTTTTGGGCCAAGAAATTCAATTTTCAAGTTTTAACTTAAAAAATAAAAAATTAGAAACCCACATTTACGATTTTTTTGGATTAAAAAAGATTAATCCTTCTTGTTATTAGTACAATAGAAAGATTTTAAATTTAATTTTTTATAAAATGATAATTAAATAATTATTTTTTAAATTAATCATTTAAAATAAATTTTTTATCCAATCATTGTTGATTTATAATAAAAAATCTCGAGACAATAATAATATTATAGTAGTAATATTTTGCTTCCAAAAGTCTAATTCTTGAGCTAAAATCATTTTTCCCTCGACTCATAACTATATAAAAATAAAAAAAATAAGAATTTTAGAAAAATTGAATTAAATGTATTATTTTTAAAATATGACACAAATCGAATTATAAAAAAAATTCAAAATAATCAAAATTGAATTATATGCATGGAAAAGACTTGTGTACATGGGTACTGACATGGCTAAAAAGATGCAGAGAGACAATCTTATCTTTGATGGACCATGTTCAATGGCAAGGAAACATCAGAGTCGTAATTATGTCATGCTATCCGAAAGTATTCGTCACCCCTTTCCTGGTCAAGTCTTCGCTTCCACAGCAAAATCTAAACAGGATGGAGAGAAAAAAGGTGGGAGAAAGAGGCGACAGAGCATTCAAAAAGAGAGGAACATGTGCAGGTCATTTAACTAGATAAAGTCAATACATCCAGCGGAAATCTTGAAAAAGAACCCATTAAAGGGGATAAACAGGGGGAAAAAACAATGGGAATTGTTTAACAAAGTGATGCAAACACATTTCTCTGTTTAAAGAAATGAAAACAGGGGTTTGCCTGGTTCTGGTAAGTGAAGAGAGTGATTCAAGAGCATAGAGGATAGCAGCCTGGCCATGAGCTTACATTTGCTTACATTCGAGCATTGAATGCAAATCTTAGAACGTTGTTGCTTTGTTGGATTTGAGCGCGTGAGAGAGCGTGATTGAAGGTTTTAATTTCTATGTTTTTCTTCCTTAAAGTTGACCTGATGGGGTCGACAATTATTCCACTGTCATCTTTTAAGGTCGGAAGGGTGCTCTGTCCACGCGCTGCCGGTTATCGTGCTTGACAATGATCCCAATTCCCTGGTGGCAGTGCTCTACAATCATCCTTTTCATAGGAGTGCAGTCAATGGAGATGCTTCACATGCTCTCAAGCGCGTGGAAATAGAATTGAACTGAAATGGAGTATTCCTTTTCTTTCTCCTTTTGCCTCCCTGACAGCTCAAATTAAAGTGATCCACCATATGCTTTTCTCTCCTCAGAAAGCCCATGGAAAATTTTTGTAACCTTTATTGACTCTGCTTCACTATATAACTTTTCTTTTTTTTTTTCCCTTTTTTTTATAAAGCCATAGCTGCACAGGAAGAGAAACTCAAAAAACTTCTCTGGGTTGATGAGAGTTTGGTTTAACTGCAGACAATGAGTACTGCAACAGCAGCAGCAGCTGCAACACAAACAAAATTCATAAAATGTGTGACAGTTGGGGATGGAGCTGTTGGGAAGACATGTCTCCTTATCTCTTACACTAGCAATACCTTCCCAACTGTATGAACTTCCTTTTCTCCTTCTCTCTCTGATGATCCTGCATTTCTTTCTTTGTTGATTCATATGCATTTTGCTTTCTGGTTGCTCACTTTTCTTGTTTACAGGATTATGTTCCTACTGTTTTTGATAACTTCAGTGCCAACGTCATGGTTGATGGACGGACTGTCAATTTGGGTCTCTGGGATACTGCTGGTATGCTCTTCTGCTTCTCTCATAACGACTTCTACTTGTTCATCTTAATTCCTAGCTTGTCTCTTCAGTTTTTCTTTATTGTTTCAAATTTTAACAATGGGGTTTGCTGAATGTTGTTTGTTTAGTGAAATAAGAAATGGTGGATTGGTGGTTATAACCTGACGATTACAAACTATGATCTGATATGTTGATCATAAAGAAATGTAGAGACTTTATAAAGGAAAGCTAAAATCACAGAGATTTGAAATCTTACAACCCAAAATTTGTTTGAAAGTTCCAAAATTTTCCATTTTGTCCTCATAGAAACACAAAGGATAAACATTTAGTTGGCAATTACATAACTTGTAAATGGTTTGATGTTGCACAAAGGGCTCGTTTCTGCTACAGAAAAAAAGAGCTGAAACACAATTAAGACAATGGAGATGAGATGACAAGTAAAGTGAAGAAAACATGTTTTGACAAAAGTAACAATGTCAGTTTCACTTTACATTGAAAGAAACCATGCCTTCTCTGTTTGCCCGAGTTGGTAAAATTATAACTGTCTGTAGTTTTTCGTTATGGAACTGAAGAGATCACATTATAAAGGTGCTAAGGTCATATTAATTATACCCTTACAACCAATGACTCGCCAAAAATAAGTATTAACGGTGTTAACTCTTTCGATATACATCCACATTTATAAAACACCATGGGATGGGATTATTTCCTTTCCACACCCGTAATTATGTTATTCAAGGTCTTTTTAGAAGCTTTAGATATCAGTGAATAGTGAATCACTCGTCATAGAGTGAACACTAGCCTTTTTAGTTAATATGGAAGTGATTTGATTATAAAACCAAAGTGAATGCCGTAGTTTTGATAGTATAATTAATTTGTTCAGGTCAGGAAGACTATAACAGGTTGAGACCTCTAAGTTACAGAGGGGCTGATGTATTCCTTCTTGCTTTCTCCCTCATAAGTAGGCCTAGCTATGAGAACGTATCAAAAAAAGTAAGCTTCTTCGCTCATCACTTTGGTTTTTAAAGTTTAAACCCTCTAATGAGTTCTCTTCTGCTTATGCTTAGTTTAATGAAATGTATATACTACTTTTCTGATTCCTTTGCATGTCTTGCTTCTTTTCCTTTATGCTCCTTGTTGTGATGGAGAAGTGGGTCCCAGAGCTGAGACATTATGCCCCATCAGTGCCCATTGTTCTTGTGGGGACCAAACTAGGTGATGGATTCTCTCCTCCTTGATGTATTGCTTCTGCAAATGGATGTTTCCAGAGAACCATGCCTTTGCTTATCAATCAAGGTTCAATATGCTCTGAATAATTGAGCATACTTGATGAAAGTTTAAAAAAAAAAAAACAGAGCCTCTTTATAATCATTTTTTCAAAAAGCCACCATCAGATTCTGATGTATGTGCATGGTTCATTCCTGTGCATTTAGCTGTATTAAAACATCAACATCATAAACAAAAAGCGTGAGAAAGAAATGAATGCACATAATGCATACATAATTAAAGCATACGAAAAAGCTTTTGTTCCTTGGCGATTTGTAAATACCGGGTGTCAATTGTGTTTGATTGTCTAGCTGTAAGCTCTATTTGAATATCTGTCATGCATGGACCAGGTTTTACATGGTTGATTACATGTTTGGACATGTGCATGCATGCTTTTGTTTCTGTTCATAAATTTAATTGGGGTGCAGATTTAAGAGAAGACAGGCAGTTCCACTTGGATTATGCAGGGCCATGTGCCATTTCGACAGAACAGGTACCACTGATATGTGCACATTTTGTTCCCACTGTTTCATTCTCTGCATGTTTGTGGCACCATTAGTTGTTTTGTTAATGTGTACAAGTTGTCTTTGGATTAGGTAAGTTGCAATTTTGAATGCTTTAGACAAAACAAACGATGAGAAACCTTTGTGGAGAACATTTATTGCCAGCAAATCAAGGGCTTTCTCGGTAGACTGGTTCCAGCTTTTTAATGAAAGTTTAATCCATCTATTCAAAATTTCCTTTTATTGGCAGAATCTAATGAGCAAGAAATAGAATTGCATAGCAGATAGTATAACTGCTTGTTCCTTTTCTTTATCTTAGTGTCATCTCTAAGCAGGCATCTGAATCCAACACCTGCAAGACCCACACTGTTAAAAAACACAGAGCAATCACAATGTTACTCTTGTCTTTATTTTGCTGGTCAGGGAGAGGAAAAGAAGATTGGTTCACCCCGCTGTGCTTCTTGATTGAAAATTATACAATTTTGTTGCTTGAATCTTAACCTAACTGAAATGCATAATGTCTGACTATAATGGCTCTCTTATGAAATCTTTCAAATTTCATGAGTTCTATTGTAGCCTAATACAGATATCTCAAATTCTGTTGCCAGGGTCTTGAACTAAAGAAGCAAATAGGAGCACTGGCTTACATAGAGTGTAGCTCGAAGACACAGCAGGTTCGTCTTGGATCTGTGTATATTATCATAAAACCACAAATAGAAAGTGCCTATGAGTCTATCACACATGCCTCCAAGATTCTATGTTCTTTCAGTCCTCTCAACTGCAATCTTACACTATTTAAACTAACAGAATATAGATAAAATGATATTAGCTTCAACCCATCGACCACGGCCAATTGATTGGAGCTCTTCGTGCTTTGGCTTAAGAAATGAATGCAGGATTTAAACAGGATTGGAGAAATGAATACATAGTTTTGGACATCATTATGCAAATTATTCCCCTCTATTGATACCGGCATCCTGTTTAAAAGCATATTTACCAATAGCATCAAGAAGAAAAAGAGCTTGCAGTACCTGCTGCTCTATTCTTGATGGTGTTTGTCTACTATGAAAGAACTGCAGGGGAATATACAATTTAAATGAAATTTCCCTGGAATCTATTATCAGGTTGTTAAGAACTTGTGTGCTGGAAACTTGCAGAATGTGAAAGCTGTGTTTGACGCTGCTATCAAGGTGGTTCTCCAGCCTCCAAAGCAAAAGAGGCAAAAGAAGAAATCAAGTATCTGCCGTGTTCTTTAAACAAAATCCCTGATGGACAACAGTGTCAATTCGACAATGACATGATTCTCCTCTTAAAGTTCTGTGCATTCTTCATCATATTTATTATCCCTCCTTTTTCTTGTTGATTTTATCGAGTGCTTCCTCTCCTTGTGAAGTAGGGACTTTGCAATAGATTGATCAGGGTAACTCCATTTGTGTATTTGGAAGGCATCTGCAAGAACTTAAAGGGTGCTTGGGTTCTGTAAATTGGCTGCTTGTTGCGATGATTTGATGTGAATGAAATTTGCTCTTAACCAATTTCTGCGATCCTCTTTGCATTTGCAGCTCCATTCTGGTTTAAGCTTCAAGCCTTAGAGACAGGGGTCTGAATCTCCATGAAAACGTTGCATTTTACCGGACTCGGGCCATTCCAGCTTGATCAATGTCTTGGGGCTTTCACAAGCATTGAACCCACATCAATATTTAATCTTTCCATAAAGACTCAGTGCGTAAGATTATGTGATTAGTAAATTCCACAGTTAGTGTATAAGGTAATTTTCTAATAATAGTCTTGAAATCCAAATCTCCTAAGCTTCACCACCTTTGTTTTAGGACGAATTCATACATTAAAATAATGAGAAAATAAATCTCTTCACGAGGATTATTTTACTATCCGTCACCCAGGATCATTTGACCTTGCAGGGTGATTCTTGCTAATTCACAAAGGATTCAACGTGCCCATACTCAGAGCGTAAGCTATACTCATAGAAAAAAGTTGCATTTGTTAAAAATCGTTACCATTCCTCACAATTATTTCAATTTCGACGTTGAAGCAATAATAAGAATATTGCTAGTACTATTTCCAAGTTCATGTTGATTATGTTTCGTCTCTTACGGGTTTAAATTAGTTATCAAATTAATCAAGCAAATTCAATCGATTCTTAATGACACGACATAAACATGGGCTTGGAACGTTCAAGGTAGCAGAAAGACTGGACAGCAGACTCCCATTTTCCATTCTGGGGCCACAATCAACACACACATATTACCTAATTTCCCTGATGCCACGCAGCAAAGAGGAAAAGTCTTTCCTATTAATCTTCTTGTTCAATTTTCAAACTATGTACTTTTGAATTTGCTTATTTAGACTTTAATTTTTTGAATCATTGAATCCATATAAATTCCTGAAAAAAATACAACAATTTGTGACCTGAATTCAGTAAAACCTATTAGGTTAAAATGGACATCTAAATATCTAATTTATTGATTAATGTATAATTTTTTTGTTTAAAAAGAAAAATTCAAATCCCTTTTTTTAATTAATCCCTTTGTTTTATAAGGATGGGAACATGGGTTTAGTATTAATTAATCAAGTTTATATCATCATATAATAATGCATTTGCCTTTATCGGTGAATATATGAGAGGTACATAATTATTATTCTAGTACATTTGCTGGTTAGTGACATTAACATTGCAAATTAAGTACTAATATTGAATAATATCAGTTTGATAAGATTTTGTCAAATCCTTTCAACACACGGAACGCAGCTCTCGCCAGACTTTTGGGCTTTTTCTACTTTTCTTTCTTTCTTTCTTTCTCTTTCCTTCTGTAATCAATCACCAATCATCAATCGCCAAGTAATTAATGTATGATCGAAGCATGCTTCGATGATCGAGATGTGTTGATTGTGAGCTTCATTTTGTTTAATTATGGACCGTTTGGATTTTCTGCTCATTCTTTTTTTTAATATATATAAGAAGACGAAATCAAAGATTAATATAAAAACAAAAATAATAATAATATGAATATTTATCACTTACATTGATCCTTTTTTTCTTTTTATTTTTTGAGAAAATTCTCCTTAAATTGATCTCCACACCATTTTGATTGCTAGATTCCAATCCCAAATTTCAATGACATTAAACCATATATAAAACGAGATCCTTTTATAATGATTATGACTTAGATGGATGGTACTATTTTAACCTTTTTCGGAATAAATTTGTTGGATTCATTCGAGTAATCGAACATGTGAATCAGAATAATATATACTTTTTTATTTTTATATAAATTTTAATTTTTAAAAAAATTAAAAACTATTTTTTTAAAAAAAGGAGGAAGTGTACATATTATCATTGTTTGCTGTAAATTTTAATAAACTTTACCATACTATTTTTATCTGGACTTCTCTGATATATCTCTTCTATTCCCTGGCCAACATCACAGACTAAAACCCCATGACAATTTAATGGCCGCTCTGACCTCAGGTACTTTGCGTGACAATTCTACCCAAACCTAGCTACCGATCTCTAATCCTTTCAAGCCAAGCGAAACCCAAGTCTTTTTCACCTAAAGAAACCTAACAGGCCAACACCCGAGCTCTCATTCTCATCTATGGAACAGTCAAAGAACCCTTTTCAGGCAACTGCTGCAATAGTTTTTCTCCTTTTAGCAGGTGCCCTTTACATTATCTGTGTCTGGTCTCCTCCCTCATCAAACCCTTTCCTCCCCTACCAAGAAAGCAGCAGTCAGCAATCTAATTTTGTAAGCATATGGTACCATGTGTTTGTTATACAGACTTTCTGATCAGTTCTTGGTGATGGGAAAAACTCATTCTTTTTGTCTGTTACAGACCACGGTGAAGTTTCCTGTAAACGACGAGCTGGGTTTGGCCCTGGATGAAGCTTCCACGCCCAACAAGACAGTGATCATCGCTGTTGTCAACAAAGCTTACGTGGAGCAAAGTGTGAGTTCAGAGACCACAATGCTGGACCTGTTCCTGGAGAGCTTTTGGTTAGGAGAAGGTACCAGGCCATTGCTGGACCACCTGCTGCTTGTCACCGTCGACCAAACGGCTTACGAGAGGTGCAAATTCAAGCGGCTGCACTGCTACAGATTGGTGACGGACGGTGTTGATTTCGGTGGGGAGAAGGTTTATATGTCGGAGGAGTTTATCAAGATGATGTGGAGAAGAACTCTTTTTCTTTTGGATGTCTTGCGGCGTGGCTACAACTTCATTTTCACGGTAAATTCTTTTTATTTTCTCGGAAAATTCCCTTTTATTAAAGTAAAAACTAAAACCATTCAAACAAACAAAAATGATAAAATAAATAATTTGAAGAAGTTACAGTATTTCATTAACAATTAAAAATCATGATACAAATAACAATAATTGATTACATTTATTTTTTCATAAAAATAATTTTTTAATTAATTTTTTATTGAAAAGTGATTTTTATACTGATAAATAATATGAATTAAATTATGCTGAAGCAAGTCTTTAATTTTCCCCACAGCATAAAACTTGTTTTCAACCTAAATAACGTGCGCTAAACCTACAAGTAAGTCACCAACAAAACACGTTTACAATCAACCTTAACTGATGTCTCCCCTTTATTCTTGCATTTTCACCTGTCCATACATCGTGGGTTCCCTTCCTTACTCCTCCATAAATTATCTATATTTTAATTAATCACGAAAGAAAATTATAGTCTTTTATAGTAATATTAATTTAGTTTATGATATTTTTGCCAAATTCATATTGATAATTGCACATGAATAATTTACATTAATTATGAGATAATTATAATAATCCTTTTCCCATGTTTCTAGCAAATCTAGCTTAATCAAGGAAATATTATATAGTAATTTGGCTTGACTTTAATTATGTTATATCGAGAAAAGATAAGAAGTTCATTTAATGTGGCATCTCTGAATTCAATGTCATCGGTACTACGTGGGAGAAGTTCATTGGGCAATCAGTGTCCCCAACGTTTAGGAAGGGTCCTCTAAGGTATAGGACCGCCGGAGCCATGAATCACATGAGATGAAACTCTCTTCGAGGTAAAGGTAAAAGTCCTTGGAAAGGGCACACTAACCATAATCCAAATTAGTTAACCAATTGAACAAAGTAGTTAGGTTAGTTGAACTATTGGTTTGGAACAAATTGAAGTCTGTCGATGTTTCTAATTAATTTCTTTCATGGCTTATGGTTTTGTCTGGCTCAAGCAGGGACTACTATGCGTAGGTTTTGGAGCAGTCTGTTTCTTTCCCCGAACGACACGACTCTTTCTTATGTTTTTCTTACCACAAAATGATGATTTTTTTTTAAAGTTGACAAAGCATTTTGTTTTTTCTTTTGTCATTAATTGTCACGGTTTCCATATTTTGTTTTTCTTTAAGGTTTTTTCTTCCAATTGTTATCTCAAAGAAATAATTAATGGTCAATTTTGTCAGCCACGAGAACGGTATACTAATTCAAAGGATCATTATATATATATATATATATATTACATTCAAAGGGCAAACAAATGAATCATTGTATATATTATTGTTAATATTTTTATAAATTGAATTTGTTTTGATTAGAATGAGTAGATGAATAATTTTGCTTAGCTTTTTTTGAAAATAATTATTTAAAATATTGAAAAAAATGATAAAAATACTTTTAATCAACCTAACCAATCCACATATACAGTTCAATTTTAATTATTTTGGTTGGTCCATTTTTTTTATAAAAAAATGATTAATTTAATATTTAAAATGTTCGAAAACAAATCGACCATATGCACACCTACCTAAAAAGATTTCTTTGTTTTCTACTTTGCTAATTCGTTCTTGAACTATATCAATAAGTTTTGCTCATTCTTTCAGGACACAGACGTGATGTGGCTAAGGAATCCGTTTGCAAAGCTAAGCCCAAACGGAACAGAGGACCTCCAAATCAGCGTCGATACGTTTACCGGCGACCCACGACCGGAGCACAATTTCATCAACACCGGCTTCTACTACATCAGATCAAACAACAAGACCATCTCGCTGTTCGACACTTGGTACTCCCAGAAGGACAACTCCACAGGGAAGAAAGAGCAAGACGTCTTGGCCGACCTGACGCGAGACGGGCTCTTCGGGCAACTTGATCTCCGAGTAAGGTTCTTGGAGACCGAGCGTTTCAGCGGCTTTTGTCAGGACAGCGGAGATGTCAGCGCCGTAGTAACCGTTCATGCAAATTGTTGCCGCCACATAAGCGCAAAGGTCAGAGATTTAACGGCTGTCCTCCGCGATTGGAAGCGGTTCCAGGCGGTTCTGACCAAGTATCCAAACGCTGCTCGGAACATAACTGGGAGTTTCAGGTGGTCACCGCACGCGGGCTGTTGGGATTCATGGAAAGTAAATGACAAGACACCATGATCAAGTTAAAAGACATTCGTAAATTTGTATGGTTCGATTTTTTTTTGAATACAAATTTTGATTTTTAGCATATAAATTAAATTGTGTTTAACAAAATCCATATGCTACATGAAGTTTATTTTATTTATAATATACATCTATAATCTATATATTTATCTATATCCATATATATTTAATTATATATAAAAAGACGAATGTTAGATAAAATTTTTAATTAAACAAAACGGATATATTTGCTCATTATATATTTAAATTATCATTTCAAATTTTTTATTATAAATATTAGTAAGATTTATCTAATTTTTAAATTAAATAAAACTTTTAATTATATCAAATTATTTTTATTAAAAACAATATCTTATAAAATTTCACAGACAAGTCTCAAGCATAGAGACTCCATAAAAGTTAAAATCAACATAGTTTAGATATTAGTAAATAAGGTTTCTAATAGAATAACTTTCATTAAAATGTCAAATATCATACCCGTACGGTAAAATTTGTTTATTATATAATTTATAATTAATATTACAAAATTTTAATAATATATTTATATCTTATATAATTGCTACTTTATATATAAATAAATAAAAAATAAAAATACTAGTTTATGTTAAGAGTATGTAGGATTATTTTGGATTGAATATGAGTAAATTGAAGTGATTATATTATTTTTCATGTGATGAATCCCACTAATATTGACATCATACTTTGCTCTAAAAATAATCAACTATACCATACGCTATTTTTAAGTCTACTTTCTCTTAGGGCTTCTCTACCTATCGTTTCCATTCCTCGGCCAAACACCACGTAGAAAACCCATGCTATCCTCAGCTACTTTTGTGCGTGGCAAACCTGCCCATGATCCACCACTTTCCTCACGACTCTTTCCAAGCCAAAACACTACCAAAAGTAAGTTTTACCTTCACTTTGCATCCATGGATTATTCGAAGAACTCTTCTTGTCTGGGAGCTTCTGCAATCGTTTTTCTCCTTTTAACTGGAGCTCTCTACCATTTCGTCTGGTCTCCTTCAAGATCAAACCCATTCTTCCCCTACCAAGGAAGCAACTGCCCACAATCTAACTCTGTAAGTTTGTTTATATATATATATATATATATACACACAGACTTTGAATCGATTCATATTTCTGGGAAGGGAACTCATTGTTTTTTATTTTTTATTTTTGACGAACTACCCTAAACCTAAAGTCTACTGTAATCGACGGAGCTCGAATCAGCACTTGAAGAAGCTTCCATGCCGAACAAAACCGTGATCATTGCGGTTGTCAACAAAGCTTACGCGGAGCAAAGCGCCGATGCAGAGACGACGACGATGCTGGACCTTTTCTTGGAGAGCTTTTGGCTAGGAGAAGATACCAGGCGGTTGCTCGACCACCTGCTGCTCGTCGCCATCGATCAAACGGCTTACGATCGATGCAAATTCAAGCGGTTGCACTGTTACCGATTGGTGATGGACGGTGACGATCTCGGTGGGGAGAAGGTTTACATGACACAGGAGTTTCTCAAGATGACCTGGAGAAGAACGTTTCTTCTTTTGGATGTCCTCAAGCGTGGGTACAACTTCATTTTCACGGTAGGCTTTTTTCCACCTTGTAGATTAAATCTCGTTATTATCTTGGAAATGCCATATTAATTACCCATTATTTATTTAAATAATTTGAATTAAATCGCTTAATTTGTATATATATCAATTTTTATTTTTAAATATAAAATTTATTCAATCATTTTTAAGGAAAAATTCTATAAATTTTACTTAAATAACTCCATTTAGAATTTATATTTTTTAAATATTTTAATCATAGTATAGAATATCTAGTTACATTAGTTTTCTATCTAATCTTCTAAACTATGTTTCAAACTAATTACATTTATTGTGAGCATGAATAATGAAATTTACCTAACTCGCATTAATTTGCAAATGCATAGATTCTAGACATTAGACATAGGTAGGATCCCAGACCGTACAATGAAAACATTTAGCAAAAGTTTAGTCACACTTCTTTGGGCTAATCAATCTTAAATTTTGAAAATCACGTAGTTTTCTTCGTGTTTAAGAATATGGAAATAGACGCACTTAGGTACAATGAGACCTGTGTCTTCATTGAATAGTAGTACCTTATTTTAAAGAATATATGTTTGATTTAATTTAAATTCATGTAGGACAAAAAGACATCTATTTCAAAAGTAACATAGATTAGCAATTAGCGGTCCATTTGTTTGACTCAAAATAATAAAATTCAATTAAATAATATATAAATACTTGTTAAATTGATATTTATATAAAATTTTTTATAATTGATATATATTCTTTAATTTATCAAAGATAGTATATTAAATGAAAAAAAATATATTTAATTAATTTTAAATAAAAGTGAGATTAATAGTTTTAAATCAAAATAATTAACTTATCACAATCAATTGAATTCCTTTAATTCAATTTAGTTTTTTTTTATTTCGATATTAATTGAATGATTTTTTCGATTTTGGATATTCAAAATCTATAATTGAATCAGTAAAAATCAACCACTAATAATATATTATACTATTAAATAATATTTTTAGAATATATATAAAAAAACTAAAGACATTTAGTGAGATATTGTTAAACATTCAAACCCATTGAAATAAAGTTGATTTCTTTATTTTCGATTTTAAATTATATAGTTCAATCAAATATATTTATTTTTTTATTAAAAATTCGATTGTTTTAATCTTTGAAATTTTAAAACCGAAACAATCGAATATGCAACTTGATAATCAAATTTTTGGCACCGTGAATAAGGTTTGTTCATTCTATACAGGACACAGACGTGATGTGGTTAAGGAATCCATTCACGAAGTTAAGTCCGGATGAAACCCTGGACCTGCAATTCAGTGTCGATTCCTTCAATGGCGACACCCGACCCGAACACAATTTCATTAACACCGGTTTCTATTACATAAGATCAAATAAAAAGACCATCTCGTTGTTCGAAAAATGGTACGCCCAGAAGGATAATTCCACCGGCAAAAAGGAGCAAGATGTCCTGCAAGAACTGATGCACGGTGGGCTCTTCGGAAAAATGGATCTCCGGGTAAGGTTATTGGAGACCAAGCATTTCAGCGGCTTTTGTCAAGATAGTCGAGATGTCGGCGAAGTAATCACCGTCCACGCGAATTGCTGCCGCCACATAAAGGCCAAGTCTGGAGATTTGACGGCCGTCCTCCGTGATTGGAAGCAATTCAAAGCGGCGGTGGCTCAACACCCCGAGGTTGCTGGTAATATAACTAGGGGATTTAGGTGGTCAAACCACACTGGGTGTTGGAATTCATGGAAAGATTGATAGCAGTAATAATCAAAAACAGTATAATTTTAATAGACTATAAATCAGAAAGGTTTTTTGTTTTCTTTTTATTTTCCTGTGGGGAAATGTTTTTCAATTTTTTTTTTGAGAATTTGACCATAAATATAAACATTTGTTTTTTATATTAATTAATTTTTTTGATTTAAGATTTCATCTTATTATTTTCTTTAAATTATGATATACCTTTCTAGATTTTTTTTATTTTAAAAAAATAGATGATAAAATTTAACAAACACAGTTAATAGGATTAATGGTTAAGTAGTGTAGATAATATTTAATAAATATAAATTTATATCTTTTGATTCTATAAATTGGTAATTTAAATCTTTAACAAATGTTAGGAATTAAGAAATTATTATTTTTTTTTGGAAATTGCTCCTTTTTTTAAAAAAAAATTTGACATTACTTAAAGAAAAACACACTTAATAAATAAGTATAATAAATAATTTAACATTAGCAATTAAGAAATTACCATTTTTTTGTGTCTGGAAATACTCATTTAAAACAATGACATTACCTAAAGAAAAAACACATATTATAAATAATTATGAATTTATAACTAATCTAATGCCATTGTACACTACTTATATACTATTAATTAATAAAAAAATGTCACTCCATAAATATGTAAAAATACAAATTTTAAAAAATAAATATTGTTAAAATTATGAGCATTTATATTTTAAAATTCTTAATTTTAGATTTATTTATTAATAATATGATAACATTTAATTTATTAATTATATACAAAATTTGTATACCGATAGATATAAACCCAATAAATATATCCCTATTCTTTTACCCTCTTAAATAAACTATTTTAGTTTCGATATAACTAAATTAAAGTTACCAAATAGTATATCTCACTTCTTGTTTCTCTATAAACTAATACTAATTATTAATAAATTAGCACTTTTATTTTTTTTGGAAATCACTCATTTTTAAAAAAAATTGGCATTAATTTAGAGAAAAAATAATAGAAAAAAAGATTTGTTTTATTGGCTGAGCAATGTAAGACTGGCACGTAGGCGGCAACAGAAGGAAGATCCCATGCGTCGGCTTTATAGGAAACGAAGTCATCGTTGGATTAGTTACTCTCACCTTTTTCCCACGTCAAGTATAACAAAATAATCACCTGCTTCACTCACTACACTTCCCTTACGTCATAATTCGCCCACGTGTCTATGGACCAATAGAAATCCCTTATTATCACTCACACCTGTACCTTCCCTCCTAGTCATAATACCAAACCAACACGGAAATCAACCTCGTATAAATATTCTCGTTTGAGTTCCAAAATTCACGTTTGTCTGTTTTTGTTGTTTTTTTCAGAGGTTTTCGTTTTCTTCTTTATTTTATCGCCTCTCGATTTTCTCTCTCTCTTCCTACTTAGGGTTAGGGTTTTAGCTGCAATTCGAAACATTTAGTTGTTTAGTATATTAATCTTTTAGTTAGGATCTTAACGATTCTGTTCAGACCAATTTAGGGTTTCTCATCAATTTGGAAGGGGGCGGGGGGTTTGATTTGTTGCTTCTATTGAGAGTTTGGCTTAGCCCTTTTTTTTTTTAAATTATCAAATTGTGATATTTCAAGGACTACGTTTGATAAACAATGCCTCCAAGAATGGTGAAGAGAGGGGCTGGGTCTGCGGGCCCAAAGAGGACGGCGAGGTCCACTAGAGGGGCATCGAAAGCTCAGAATCCACCACCCGAGCCTGTGGAGGAGGCCGTGAAGGAAGGGGTGGCTTCCGTTCCAGTTGTGGAGATGAGGGAGGAGGAAGAAGAGGAGGTCGTGGAGGACGTTAAGGCTGATGAGAAGCGAATTGTGGAGGAAAAAGTGGTGATCGAGAAGAAAGGGGTTGTTCCTGAGGAAAACGCTGGATTAAATTTGAATTCGAACGGGTCAGTTGGCCGATGAAGAGTAAGTCTTTTGTTTGCCCTTTGGTTTATCTTATTTGATTTCGATCTGTTGGGATTGGGGCATTCGTACTTCTGATTTTTATTTGGTGTTCTTCTTTTGTTATTTGCATGTCGATATTATACAAAAAATTTTGGCTTTTATTGTAGTTATGCGGGTCTTTTCTGGAATTTAGCATGTCACAGTGATTCTGTTGGATATTATGCGGTATTTAGTTACATTTAGTTATCTCTCATTCCCCTTTCTGAGAATTTCGAAGGTTGATATTGTATGAGGGTTTGGATTGTATAGAGATCTCTGTTTTGATTAGAATGTAGTATCAGTTGTTTTAAGGTGATTGTTTCTTGACTGGCCTGGATTATTCTATCCCTTTTTTCTTCACAGAAGAGGATGAATTGAAGGGATCTGTTGAGGAATATGAAAAAGATGAGCGGTTAGAATTGGATGATAATGAACCTGAATATGAACCCGAAGAATATGTTGGGGTGGATATGATGAGAAGGAGATGGAACCAGATGAGGTGGGAGATGAAGTAGAGAGAGAGCCTGAGGAGGAGCAGGATGGTGAGGAGAAAGAGGGTGATCTGTCAGATGATGAGATGTTCATGAAGTTGAAGTAGAAGGTGACGACGACGACGACGACGACGATGAATGATGATGATGAGCATGCTGGGGAAGAAGTGGAGCATGCAGATTTTGATGCAGCAGATCATGATGAGCGGCATGAATTTGTTCAAGAGAGACGGAAACGTAAAGAGTTTGAAGTGTTTGTTGGGGGATTAGACAAGGATGCCACTGAGGATGATATTAGGAAAGTCTTCAGCCAAGTTGGTGAAGTTGTTGATGTTAGGTTGATGATGAACCCTCAAACAAAGAAGAACAAGGGGTTTGCATTCTTGCGTTTTGCAACTGTAGAACAAGCAAAACGTGCAGTTACAGAACTTAAGAATCCTGTGGTAATTATTGTGTCTTCAATGATATCAATTTTTGAATGGAACAATGGATTGACTTCACAACTTAATCTTTTTGTTTTAATGAATGCAATTCCAGATTAATGGGAAACAGTGTGGTGTTACCCCTAGTCAAGACAGTGACACCCTTTTTCTGGGTAACATATGCAAGACATGGACAAAGGAAGCGGTAAGTACATTGGCTCTTTTAAGGTCACTAACAAGTGTGAGTCATCTTTCTAAAGGGTTGTCAGTACATATTGTGTTCCTGATGTTGGGCATTGACTGTTATTCTAGTTGAAAGAGAAGTTGAAACATTACGGAGTTGACAATGTTGAAGACTTAACATTGGTAGAAGATAGCAACAATGAGGGAATGAATCGGGGTTTTGCCTTCTTGGAATTTGCATCTCGGTCAGATGCGATGGATGCTTTTAAGTGTCTTCAGCGGAGAGATGTTTTATTTGGGGTTGATAGGCCTGCAAAGGTTTCTTTTGCAGATTCCTTCATTGACCCGGGTGATGAAATCATGGCACAGGTAATTTGATAGAACAGTTTTGTTTTTGCTTAGGTGGTATGAATTACCAAGAGTTTTATTTTTCACATTCATTGGTGCTTAAGTGTTCAGCTTGTTAGAAACATGAATCTCTTTTATTAGTTTGATGATTTTGTTGTCAAAGCTCAGGTTAGGACCATATTTATCGATTGCCTACCTCCTTCTTGGGATGAGGATCGTGTTAGGGAGCTATTGAAGAAATATGGGGAAATTGAAAAGATTGAACTTGCCCGGAATATGCCATCTGCTGACAGGAAGGATTATGGTTTTGTTACGTTTGATACTCATGATGCTGCAGTCACATGTGCTAAGAGCATTAACAATACGGAGTTGGGCGAAGGTGACAGCAAGGTTAGTCAAAGTTCTTGGTGTACTATGGTGTTTATATGGGTTACATATCACCTTGTTTATTGGTTATTGTTTTAATTCAGGCTAAAGTTAGAGCCAGGTTGTCAAGACCGCATCAGAGAGGCAGGGGTAAGCACATTGGCCGTGATGGTTTTAGGTCTGGCCGTGGATCTGGACGAGTTGTTAGGGGTTCATGGGGTCGTCCTGCTCCACGTGGTTTCCCTCCTCGTGGGGTAAGAGGAATTAGTAATCGTGTCCCTCCACCTAGTCTAAAGAGGCCTGTTGGATTAAGAGATAGACGTCCTATTATGTCTGCACCAGCTAGAGGCCGTCCTTTGGCTCCTCCTCCTTCTAGATCGTATGACAGAAGAGCACCTGGTATGCCTCAATTCTGTATCATGTCTACGTAATTCTTATATTGATATCTAGATTTAAAAATTCTAACTTCATCTATTTAACAGTTCCACCATACCCAAAGAGTAGTTTGAAGAGGGAATATGGTCGGCGAGATGAACTTCCTCCTCCAAGGAGCAGGGCTCCTGTGGATTATGGTTCTAGGGTTGTGTCAGAGAGACGCCCATCATATAGAGATGACTATTCTGCTCGCAGTTCCGGCTACTCTGATTTGCCTAGAAGCACATCTCGCACTGCAGCCAGGAGACCTTATGTAGATGATGCGTATGGCCAAAGGTTTGAAAGACCTCCTCCTAGTTACCGTGATGGGCGTGGCCGTGATTATGACTCTATGTCTGGCTCAAAACGACCATATTCGGCTATGGTTGGTTTTATTGTTTCTTCAAGTAATTTTGTCTGCATTAGCATGATTTAACAACTTCCTATTTGTTTACGCCATGTGCTTGCTTTTTGAATCAGGATGATGTTCCTCCTCGATATGCTGATGCCGGTGCCAGGCATTCAAGGGCTCGTCTAGACTATGAACTTGCGGCTGGTGCTCCTCCATATGCAGACACATATGGTGATAGGTGTGTTATTATCTTTGGGAATATAAGGTGTTCTCTCTTGTTTATTTTCTTTTCTAAGGAGCTATAGTTATCTTCTGTGTTACTTTGATAGGCTTGGGCGATCCAGTCTAGGATATGGTGGCAGCAGGAGTTCTATGTCCAGTCAGGATTCACATGGGCTTTATGGGAGTCGTCAGGGTATGGGCTATGGTGGAGGTGTGTTTTAAGTTACTCATGGCTTGTTAAAGAAGAAACAAAACTGGGGTGGTGGTGTTCATATTTTATTTGTGTTTTGTGCTTTAATGATTTGCTCCAATTTGGTATGGTTTTCAGGTTCTTTCAGTGGCAGTGATGTTGGAGGAATGTACTCGTCCTCAGGTTATAGTGGTGATTACATGCCTAGGGGATCTGATGTATGCCCTTTCCTTTTTCTTTTTGTTTTTTTGTTTGAAAATTTAAACATAACTAGCCTAATGTAATATTTACTTTCTGCTTCCGTGGCAGGTTGGTGGTGGCTCTTACTCATCCATGTATTCAAGTCGTGGTATGGGCGGCAGCAGTTACATGGGTGGTGGTGGTGGTTCTGGGTCATACTACTGATGTAAGTCAAAATTTTTTATCCATTCCTTTTCATGTTGCACTCATGGAAGTGCAATTATCTTCAGCGTTAGTGTATTTTTAATGGAGATTAGGGCTCCCTGAAGAAGCTGGTTTCTATGTTCTTCTGAGAAGTGTATTGGAAAGGACATCGTCATATCGTCACTAGTGAATTTGTCTATGGAACAGATTTCAAAGACAATGAGGCTGCTGTAGGATGTGGACCATTTGAAGCTTTTGGATTATGTATCCATGTATTGGATAGAAGCATGCCAAGTGCTATAGCCTCCGTATGTTGTAGGAAAAAGGTTTTGAGGCTAAAGTTTTATGTGAAAGAGGCTGTGTGCTGGTTCAAGCTGTTTCTAGTTCACAAACTGGTTATTTGTGAGTATTCAGGTTTATGCTGTAAGGAAAAACTAATTTCATTTAGAGATGAAAACAGAAAGCGCTTAGAATGTGCTGTGTATGAACAACGTTGTTTATTTTAATATTTAAGAACTCCTCGTCTCCTCCTGATGGAGATTTCGGAAGCATTTGTCTCATATTTTAATGGAAGAGTGTTTAGAAGAGAGATTAAGGTTTTAATATACATATGGTTATGGATTTTGGATACTTTTCGATGTAGAACTCATTGGGTAAGTGTTGATTAAGATTGAAACAAGGCTAATAAATGCTCTTTTCGTCAGCCTGATAAGCACAAAGAGTTCAAATGGCACCTAATTGAAGGTTATAAGAAATCAGCAGAAGACGTTCTTGCATAAGCATATTGCATTTTCTTAAGGTGGTGCTTGTGAAGTCACATATAGAAGCCTGGAGGAAATTAATTGGCATGCTTGACCTTGTCTCGTGAAGCTTCTAGACTATAGACACATGCTTCTAACTTTTGGTTTTGCGTTGTTTTCCTTTGGGAATTCTGGACTAAGATGCAATGAGAAGTTGATATTAATAAAGGAGAGGACATGGTATCTTTAATACCTCGTTGTGTTGATGTTTAGTCTGTGTTGCATGTTTAGTTTTCTTGGTTGATATCTTTCTTGAGAAAATTTCTTGTGTTAAATTCCTGGTTTTTCTGGTTTTGGAATGGCCTGGTGGAGTATGCCAGGCAAAGATTTGAACTTTGCTTGTAACCAGCAGGAAAATAACAGTGTCTGACTGAAGGACCAATTCCATATGTTTCAACACTTGCTATTTCGTTTTAATCAGGTTATTGTTATACAAAGCAACTCCTTGTGAAGGTGTTCTCCAAATTAAGTTATTATATGGATCTCAAGGGATTGTACTTTCTCATGATGTATGCCTTATTGCTTCATCAAATGCTTAGTAGTTTGGGGAGGTTGTTGATGGATGAAACCTCTTTAATTTACTTCGGTTGAACTCAGAGATTCTTGAGTTGGATATTTCTTCTTGTTCGTTAAGTACTTTTACTTTGTGGGAAAGCAGTCATTGCTTTACAACTTGGGTTTAGTAGAGCAATGATTTTGGAAAAGTTTATATTTAATTGGCCAAGAAATCTCGAAAGCTGTGGGTATGTTGGTGATTGATAGATTTTAGATTTAAGAAAACGTACTGGACCACTTTTTAGTTGGAGTTACAATTTATACAAATTATTGACATTTTCTAACTGCACTTGAGAACAAGTGAGCAACTCTGTTTCCCTCCATCAAGTATACTAACAACATATAGTTGACTAGTTACAAGTATATGCCACTGTTGTGTAAAAGAATGGTCTATGCAACACACCTTCTTATCTTATTTGGTATAGCCCCTACAGGAACATGGTGCCTTCCACTGATTTTGTTCTATGATGGTTTATTCTGGACTTGATGTGATTATTTGAAGTTCATGAAGAATTTTGCTTCTACCTAGGAGTTGGTGTTAGGATCAAAATTCTTAGTTGGGAGGCAACTAAATTGTCCTGCGTCTGCCGTTACTTGATTTTCACAATTAAAATTTTGACTGTGATGTTCTTTCCATTTTGCTTAAGCTGGTGATGGAGCGAATGAGCTACACTACCTTTTTACTAGTGCTTCTTAAGTTTGTTGGGAAATAATCCAAGGTTTTCAATTATGGGGGAATACTGGTGTCTGCTTAATGTGTTTTACACATCATAGTCTACTATGTTGTTGTTATCTCAGCAGGTTTTTAGCAGGTTTGGTACTTGTTTTCGCAGCATGATTGGTTTTTTTTAAGTGCTTTGACACAATGTAGGTGTTAGTTTTTGTAGTTTTAGTTCTGTTTTCTTACATGTAATTTGGCTCTGTAAACAATTTGTGGAAAGTTTGTACTGTAATGGGAAAGCTAATTATGATCCTGTATTTGTCCTAGTTTTGCATGTTAGCTCCTGCTTTTCTTTCTTTTCTTTTTCTATGGGAAACTTGATTTTGTTATAAACTTATTTGAGCAGGCAAAATCTCCAATTCATTGCTTATATTTGTGTTGAGTTGGTATACTAGATTTCAGGTCAAATCCTGAACGATGTTAGAAAGTTGTTGGTGCTTTCTCCAAATGACTCTGTAGGCATTTTGCTTCTGAATCTAAGCCCATTAGGTTTCCTAGTACAGCAAGGCTGAGTGATTAACCAACTCTTTGAGGTCTCGGGCTGGCCGTCGAACGACGTAATCACAATTTACTTTGGTCGAAAAATAATTGTTACTTGGATGTTGCAACAATCTTTTAAAGCCATGGATCAAGGATTTGTCTCCTTTTTAAACAAAAGAAATTCCATTATTGCTTTACTTCAAGATCACGAAATGGATAATCTTTTTGTTTCCGTTCATTAATTCCACTTAAAATTGGTGCAACAGCATCAATAACCTCTTTTAGTAAAAGACTGAGCCAGCCCATTGTTGTTAATGCTTGCCAAATTCCCAACAATGGTAAATTAACTTGGCTATAAAGGAATACCAGAGAAATCAGTAGCCAACAAGCATGCCCATGATTGGTTGCCAAGAAATTTAAGGTGGATTGACCGGTTTTAGCCTTGGAAATGCCAAAATCAAGAATCAAGCTTCCTGTTTATGTCCACGCAAATCACTAACGTTAAATTAACGAAGTTGGGAGAACTTTGTGTTGGTTATTTTCCATCGTTCCACTTCGCTGGGATTTCCTGTTCCAGGCTCAAAAACACAAGCGTTAAACGTGTCAAGTAATTAATCATTCTGTTCTGACAACTGCTGCCTCCATGATTACTCCACCATGACAATGTCTGCAAAATCAGAAAAAACAGGGAACAAGGAACAGAGTCCTACCTTAATCCCAGATTAACAACGCAGAGACGATATATTGTTGGATTCGGTTTCTGGGTTTGTCTACTCGGTTCCCGAGCTCAAATGGGTCGTAGGCAAGCTGACTCAGATTTCGGTCGTTTTACGCTTTTGGTCCTCTTAATCATAGCCGCATTCTCCTGTTGCATGGCCTATCTTAGCTTCTCCGTTGCGTTTAAAAGCAGTGGCAATATGGATTCTGTTGGTTCGAGTGAACTTTCAAGGAGGAGCGATGAAGAAGACACAGAAGAGGAAAAAGGGTGTTGCAGAGGGATTGAGCATTTAGAGCTGTGGGGTGATGCAGTGAAATGGGGATCGGAATTCAAAGTGAATTCTTCAGACGAGTGTTGTAACGCTTGCAAGGAGATGTGCAAAGGTGACGATGGGCCTTGTTTGTGTGACTCTTGGGTGTTTTGTGGCAATAGAGAGGCCTGCGGGTCTAGATTTGGTGAGGTAAACTAACCTTTCTTGCTCTGATCTTCACCTCTGTTTGATCAAATTCTATTTTTAGATTTCGTAAATGGGAATTTTCATGCAATATTGGTTGGAAATTTGATGCATAGACTCAAATCTCAGTCTTTTAGATGATTCTGTGAAAATCGTACAAGGAAAGTGAAAAAGGATATCAAATTTGGAATAAAAGTCTGAATTTAATTCGTAACACACTACATTCATCTTTTCCTCATTGGTTTAAGTTATTAAAGCAGTAGAAATCTTCTTTTTTCTTTCCATGGCCTTGTTCTGGCTCATAAGATTTGCTAAGACATGTCCTCTTCTTGCATTCAGTGTTGGCTGAAGAAACAAAAGGATGCCTTGGATCCTGATCGGCGAGACTCAGGTGATGCAGTTATATGGACATCTGGCTTAATCTTTGGTAAAGGAGAGGTATGCTATTTGCTGCTCAAAATTTGGCTCTTATTGTAGCTCTGAGCTTAAGTGTGCTTGAAACACATGAGATTTGTTCCTTTGGTAAAGAAGAGGATGTGGAGAAATTAATAGAAAAACTTAGCTATTGTATACGGGATGTATTTCCTTATAGTAACATTTAGCCTTAAGAAACATGCACATTATAGTTGCCCTTGTTACTCGGTTTTCTTACTAATTATATGCTGGAATATCCATTTTGTTGTGACAATCTTCAAGACGGTAAGATACATGTGCAGTCTAGTTTCACAGTTCTAATGTGCTTCACCATTTTCTTTATAGGGTATTGTTAAGTTGAAGACAGAGTATGGGGCTCTTCATGTTAAAGTAAGTGCATAACTTCAAAAAGTAAGATTGTGCAACATGATTAGCTCATTGTCTCTGTTTTTCAAGATATGAGCACCACTTGGATAGGTACTGCCACACAATCATCTTATCTGTTTTCCTTCATATAAGGCAGGTTCCACACCTTGACCCCAACCCAAGTCTGTCTGCTGTCACCTCAAGTTGAGAAGCAGTGGGTGAATGTAGGTTTGTCTGCTTGTTTGGAAGTTGATTGATGTTAGGCCTAATTGTTTTCAATTATGTTCATGAAGGGCGAATTATAAAATTATATGTAATTTGGGCCAGACTTGGGAATTTCTGCACAATATATGTGCTTGTGTAGCTCGGGGGAGATTGGTCCAAAATTTCCTGCTATTGCTGCTGTCTTTGCAGTGAGAAGATTTTGGCGTCTACTTCTTTACATGAACTGTGACATTCATTATAGGTGTTGTTACCAATGTTTTTTGAAGTTTTCTTCTTGCAGTCCCGTCCCATGTTCAATAGATGGCCTAAGTCTTGTGTTTCACTGTTTATTACTTTCATTTTTGTTCTCCATGTTCAATTTGGTTTTCTTATGCACAGCTCATATTCTCATCTTTGTTGTGATCTATGATTTCCAGCTTTTGCCAGATTGTGCTCCACATTCTGTTACCTATATTCTTGAGCTGTTGGCATTACATCATTGTGCGGGTTGCCAATTTTATCGTGCTGAAAGCCGGGGAAACTCTTGGGATCCTCAAGGAAATCACATTGAACATGTAAGGCTTTCCTCTATGTGTTATGGGAAACCGAACTTTTACCAAGTTGTTGCATGTCTATCTTCATTTCATGCTTCTTAAACCATTGAATCCTTCATAATCCATGCATGAGTTGTTTTTCAGCATTTTCAAGGTCACAAGTTAAAAGAGTTGCTCATCTTATCGTTGTAGGCTACATTTGGCCCCCCATTTGCACTAATTCAAGGAACACTTGAAGTCCATGGGCCTGCATTTAAGGATATTCCAGTAGAGGCTTGCCCCACAGTAAGAAGAGGATCGATTGCATGGGTTGGGTCTGGCCCAGAGTTCTTTATCAGTCTAGCTAACCACAATGAGTGGAGAAAAGCATACACGGTGTTTGGTTATGTTCTACCCGAAGGTATGGAAGTTGTGGAGAAAATAGCGCAGCTTCCAACAATACCAGAGGTGTGGAACAATATGAATGTATCTGTCTTGGAAAGACCTGTTCCTTTACGGTTCCTAAGAATGAAGGGAAGTGCTTGAAGGGAAGTGCTTGAGATCTGATGCTGAATATGTTCATCGGAATCAAAGTGCAGAAGACTGTAGTGCGGCTGTGCGGGGATGTTTTTCATCTCCTACTTGAAGATTCTGATGTATAATGATTTACAAACTCTGTTACTTGGATCATTTGAGCTCCAAGTTTGCTTTGATAGTTTGATATGTGGATGCATAGCAATACATACCCACCAAAATTTTGTATATATAAGGGTCAGTTACAAAATATAATCAATTTGAGCCTAATTTGGGCTTTAAAAAAGCATAGATCATGTAGTTCTTGCTGTGGAAAAAGGGTTGCCTTTTCTTCTGTGTTACTCTGTGGAATAAGTAGGATGGTCTAGAGATTGTTCACCCTCACAACTTAAAAGATTAGCATGCTTGATTTCAATAGTTGATTTCACTCAGTTCCATTGATTGATGGCGTCAACCAGCTTTGAAATAATCCTTTTTATAAATTTATGGAGGATCCGTAGCACATTGGTAGCGCTTCTGACTCCAGATCAGAAGGTTGGACGTTCTACTCACGTCGGGTTCAATTCCCTAGATCCTTTCCTTTATATTTTTAGTCCATTTTTCGTATAGGATGGCAACATATCCCTGCAACTGCAACGCTGCTAACTTGTGCTGCAGAAAATTGCCATTGACATGTAAGTAATGTACGGAATGCTGGGAGCATTCCCCTCATTTACTTAAATCTAATAAGTTATGCAGCACAGTTAGCAAGAGCTTTGAGTCCGAGTGGGCAATAAAGTGAGACAGAGCGGAACTTGCTATGGCCAAACTAGTTCAAGAATATCTGTTATTCTTAACCTCATGTCACGCAAATGGCACAATCATGATGACCCTGTGATTAGGATAAATACTGCTGACAATACAGTGCATCTCTTTGCAAATTGAAACCTAATAATCCGAAGCAATCTGCCCGAGTCTTCTACCTGCTTTGAGATCAGCCATAAAGAAAAGCCAAACTGTTCCACAATTACTCCTTAACTCTGCCACTTCACCTGTTAAATGGATTATGCATACAAAAACAAAAGCCAGGCCGTAACGGCAACTGATGAAAAACTACTTTCCGACTGTTCTGAAACATACAAGCGCCCGAAAGACAGGGCTTTTCTCATCTAGTACAATCTCAAAATGACATTATATCACATACCCTTTGCTGCTTCCTACACCATCTCCCTAAAGTAAAAGTTTCCATGCCATCTGCAAAATTGCCCACGACTTCTTCTTCATGGCCGAGCACAGAAACAAATGAATGAACCTGATTATAAAGACCAACCAGTATAAAAATATAGCAATCTACACATTCTTCACAAAGTAAGTATCCTTTCACCAGTAGACACAGGCGCAAAAGAGCACTGACAAAGAGACAATCTGAAACCAAAGCAACAATGTTTTCCTATGCCTAAATAAAGACTAAAATCACAACACTACAAATTTCTCTACTACTACTTGCAAAGTCATGAAAGTAAAGCTACATTAGTAGAAAAGAAAAAAGGAAAACACTAGAGCAGATCAGGTTGCACGTAGTCCTATCACCCAAGAATCAACAAAAGGAAACATAAAAACTGAACTAACCCTAAACATTCCACCAACTAAGTTACACATCCGTGGTCAAAGGATCGAAGAAAACAACCTTTTTCCCCCTATTGCAAGGAATTGGTCTCACGACTCCGGTGAGGGCATTCTTTTGGGCTTCTTCTTCCTCTCTGAAACTGCCTTGGCGAAAGCCTCAACAATCCTCTGCTGGGACTCCAATATCATCTCGGTTCTCTTCATCTCCATCTCCATCCTCATCGTCTCTATTTCCCTCGCCATCTCCATCTTCATCTGCTCCATCCTCACAAACCCGTCTCCCAACACCTTTATGGCTGCCACCATCTCCGCCACCGCATCTCTCTCCCTCTTCCCTGACGCCGCCGTTTTCCCTGGTGTCTCCTCAAAGCCCCTTAAAACCCTAGTCCCATAACCCGACCCGGACCCCGAAACACTAAAATTACCCTTATTAGGGTGAGGATTCGCGTTCGGGTTAGGGTTAGAATTTGGGCTTGCACCATATTTCTGATCCAGTTTCCCGTAATATCTTGGCCCTGGTTGTGCTATACTAACTCCAGTAGGAATCCTAATCCTAAACCCACCGCTACTACCACCAGCGCCGCCACTACCGCTGACGCTTCCACCGCTGTTTCCAATCCCATTCCGGTACAACTTTTGTACACTTCTCGTATTAACGCTTCCGTTCTTATACCCATCTTCGTAAAAGTCGTGATCTTGGTCTTCTTCGTCGTCTTCATCATTTTCCTCATCTGGACTATCCGAATTGTAATCGGGTTTCACGTTGGGTCCCTTTTCCATAGCGTCCATTCGTTTAAAGTGGACCCAAGAAGAAGTAAATCTCGAAACTGGCATGGATCTAGCCCGCTGGATCTCGGTTCGATACCGCTTCCGGAGCTTCTCCATCTTGTGGCGGCACTGCACGGCCGTTTTAGGAGGCATCGCCAAGGGGCAGCGACGGGCCACCGCGTCTGCCACTTCTTGCCAGTGGCTCGCCTTGAGGTTCCCACGCCGGAGCGTGTACCATTTGTCGCGGTACGCGTCGATTAAGGCGACGGTTTCATCGTGCGACCAACAAGGCGGTGGGAGCCGTCTTGGGTTGGGTGTGACGATAGTAGCTGTCGGTGGTGTGGACGTGGCTGCTGGCGGTGCTGGGAGAGCCAGCGGCAGCTCTGATGGTGGTGGAGGCGATGTGTTCGACGGTGGGTCCCTTTGGGGTGAGGGAGAAGATGGGTTCGACATGATCTAATATCTCTGGTTTCGGATTAGGTTTACGGATGTCAGACGCGCTGGTTAACGATGAGAGTGGTGGAGGCGCAATTTAGCAGAGTGAGGTGATGGATACGGAAGGCGGTGCGCTTTGGCAAAGAGGATTTGGGGCTGAGAGGAAAGGAAAATAATGGGAGGAGAAGAGGACGAGGAGGAGGGAATAATGAGGAGTGGGAGATTCAGATAACGTTGGGCGTGGAGGAGAGGAGGAGGAGAAAGTGGGTTTGGTGACATATTGATTGGTTGTTGTACGGGGTGGGGAGGGGGGCTAAAAGGGGGGGAGTGGGTGGGGGTTGGGAGGGGTGTGCGGCTGATTTGAGATCTAGATGGATGAGGCCACCGCTTAGGTGTGCGTGAGTGGGGGGCTATCGTGCGCCGAGGGGTGGGGTGATACGTTGCGCACCAACCTACATGACAAAAGGTCCACCTCTCTTTCTTTTTTTCGGGTTTTTCCGTCTGACTTAAATGGCACCCATTTCGATCTAATCTTCCATTGGCTCAAAATTCATGCTTATCGTGCTCTTTGTGGGCATTGGGGGTAACCCCACCGCGCAGGGTGGGGCTCGGGTGCGGCTCTGAGCCTTGACTTTGGGTTTGGTTGGGTGGTGATTGGTTTTTCCCATGCCATTTTTTTCTTTTTTTTTCTTTCTATTTTTAGAGGCTGTCTTTGGTGGTGGTTTTCTGTTTTGACTTGGAAGGCTTACGGGTGTGGATGTTAGGTATTACTGCGTATTACCATTAGTGGGAATTCTCATTTTCCGTATTTATTGGTTGGGCAGAGAGAGAGAGAGAGGCCAGAAAAAGAAAGCAATGCTGCGAAAGCAGCCCTGGTTGGAGGAGGTGATTGAATGTATTTCCTGCTCACAGAGTCACGTGGGTGGATAATGTAAGATTGGCTTAGAACTCCTCTCAGACTTTTTTCATCTTGGTCCTTGGCAGTCCCATTATTGGTGCAGGCTTAGCATGATCTGCAATAACTATTTGCAAGAGAAATTAACAAAACCAAAGTGAAAAAAAAAAAAAAACACTCCATTTCCAAACCAAAATCTTACTTCTCTTTGTTTTGTTTGATGGGGGATATGGCCCAAAGAGTGCTGGACACTGGGTTGCCATATATTTTCAGGATTGGAGCAGGGCCTCGAGCCTGCCTGCCTTAAACAGCCCAACTAGCAGTTTCTTAACGTCCGCCGTGATGTCCTTGGCTTCTTACATTCTCTCTCCTAAAAAACTAGGTTGTTCTTTCATCTTTCAGTAAAGGGAGATGAGAGTTTTGACCCACGTTTATTCTCTCTCCTTGTTTTTCAGAATTTTTTTTTAATTTCTTTTATGCTGCTTTCCAGGTCTCAAAGCAAATTAAATAGAAATAAAAACAGATCAAAGCATGCGAACAATGCTTTGTTTCTTGCTTGCATTGCATGCAAGAATGCCGATATCATCAAAATTCCATTCCCAGTTCACGGGCAACTATCCACGTTTTCCCATGGAAAGCTTCAGGATTACGAAATCTGTCAACTGAAATATACTATAACATGTTCCCAACTAAAACTAAGAGCTAATACTTCTTTGGTAAGGGCAACAAGATCAAATAGAAATGGAACCGAGATTGTTTGAAGCATCTCGTTCTGGGGATATATCTGCATTTCTCTTGTTACTCCGGAAGATCCGTTTCTGCTTGATCGAGTTGGCTTAAACTCTGTCGACAACCCTCTACACATATCATCATTGGCAGGAAAAAAACAGAAATCACGAAGGAATTGTGAGCAGAAAGCCAGCATTCGCTAGGGAGCTAAATGAGAATGGTTTAGCCCCATGCATGTTGCTTCAGCTATGGGCACATTGAAAAATATAAGAGAGCTCATGAGAGTTGGATATGATATATGTCTTTTGAAGGAAAGATGGTAAGGTTCCACTTCATTGCGCGGCTTTGAAAGGCAGAGTTAATGTTGTTAAGAACGTTCTGGGCTTGCCCCGAGTCTGTAAAGAACTGATTACTCTCGGGGAAACTGCCCTTCATTTGGCAGTGAAGAGTAACGCAATTGAGGCTGCAAGGGTTTTGATGGAGAGATGCGGAGGTTAGATATGATGGAAATTTTGAATTGGAAAGACAAGGATGGAACACCATATTACATCAGGCAACCTTCAACAACAACATGAGGCAAGTTTTGAAGCCCTTCCTGCTAGGTTTTTTTTTTTTTTTGCTCAATTGCCTACCTACTAGTTATTACTTCACTTATTCTTATTTATTTGTTTCTCTTCTTTTTCGATTTATTATGTCGTTCATTTGTTCTTGGTGTCTCCTATCTGTTCAAAAAACAAGTGTGCAGCATGTGAAATCAGACTGTTAATGAATCCTGAATGCCTTTAATAAAGATGCATTGTTCTGTCAGATAATGTAACAAGCTGCATAGTTAAGCAAAGATGAGAGCACATAGAGTGCTGGCTGAGTGTCTTGAGCACTTTCCCAAGAAAACCATTTGTTTGAAGCTGAAGAAAAGGACAAACTAGGTGTTGATGAACAATATGCAGATCATTATTAATTGGAATCTAATAAATACCAACATTTCTTCCTCCGCATTTCATATTTGGAAAGATGTCAAATATAAGTTGAAGCAGAGGTGCTACTGAATCATGGTTTTGATCATGGTGGAGCCAACACACGTATTCTGATTACATTCTGTTTATTCTTTGGCTACTGTAAAATTCTAATAATGAATAGATTTTACTGATTGTGCTATTGGTATCTCTCCAGAAGTTGTAAATTATGAATATACATACTTGTTTGCAGATTATAGGTCTGTTAATTGGTCAAGAAGCAGTTGTTTCTGGATTAACGTAAACGCCATTAACTCAAGCGGAATTACACCAAAGGATGTCAGATGTTTTGCTCCAAAGTGGAGGTGATTGTTATGATATTCAGATTTATCAGATGTTTCAGCAAGCTGGAGCTGTGAAAGCCCGAGAACTCACAACAGAACGGGCTAATGTCCAAACCGGAGCAGAAAGCTTTATCTCACGCAAACATCCGCAATCTTCTTGTTCATGGAACCTATGGAAGGAACTGATGAAAGAGGTTACGGAATCATCAACTGAAACTCAAAATGCACTAATGGTTGTGGCAGTCCTGATAGCAACCGTCACATACCAAGCGATTCTGAGCCTCCAAGTGGTTTTTGGTCAGAGAAAGAAAATCTCAGACCATCACCGTTCAAAAGAGAGCCACGATGCCTGGGAGGCTGTCATGGCTAGCGACCCTGAAATCTTTGCTGTGTTCACTGTTTTCAAATGCATGGTTTCTTCGCATCACTCGCAGGATCTCTCTCCTTACCAGTGGATTCCCTCTGAAGGCAGGCTTGCGCTGGCCATACTTTCAATGACTGGTACTTACGTGATAGCTGTAATCTATATGGTCCAACCAAAATGAGAGAAATATACATAGTGGTCATTTTGATGGGAATTCTATTTCTTGCGGATGGGCAAGGTTTACCACGTGGTTGCTGAAGAAATGGGGAGTTGTTCCAGATACAAGGAGAAGGTAAAAGAGTTAGAATGTGCTTCTCTTGTATCATGAATCAATTGAGTAGTTTAGAATTTCATTCCTCTGGTTATTTTATCTTGGCAACATGATAACTTGTTCTTCATTTGTAAAAACTTACAAGCTTATTTGGTTCATTTATCAAAAAAGTGCATATCCATTCATTTAATTGTTTCTCTTGTTCTTCCCGACATGAGTTTTCTGTATCCTGTTAATTTAAAAAGAAACAAAGAAAGAAGGCAGATCTTGAGAAATCTGAGAAATCGTGTATTTGACTGGTCATGCGTTGGACTTGTTGTGAGTAGCCAATGCTGGCAATCAATAGCTGCTGCAAGCAGTTAATTTCTGTAGAACAATGTAGACAATTTAGCAGAAGGGATCAAGTCAGTGGGGCTAAATATTTCCAGATCAGGTAGAAATTCACCACCTGGTAAACAGAAGCTTGAATTCCCAATAGTCTATTGAGTTTCTTGCCTTATCTGCAGGTTTCAGTATTACACGAGAAAAAATTGTAGAGGACAAAGAATGGTTATTTCTCTGAAGCAAAACGAAGGAATCATCATATTAATCAAGTCATCAACTAATTTATTCATAATTCCTAACCAGTGCATCCTTGAATAATAAAACTGTGACATTTGGTAAAAACCAAAAAAAAAAAATCAACGCTTGATTCTGTAGTCAGAAAACTTGCAATAAATTAAGTAGAAGAAGAAGACGGTTGTAACAAAAAATTTGTATAATATTGTAGACAGTAGACCAACTCCTCTCCTTTCGTGGTCTCTAAGAAACAGGTTGGAGTTTTCCTATAAAGCAGCTTCAGATTTCCTGGCAAATACTTTGAATAATTTCTAACGCCACAAGATAAGGTTCTACAATTTTTTTCACAAATTCTCAAATGGATAACGAGAGATTGTTTGAAGCTGCTCGGACAGGAAATATTGAGGTGCTATACGATTTGCTTGAGAAAAATCCATTGATTCTAACTGATGTTGCCCTGTTGTTCCACAGAGACACCATTACATGTTGCGGTTAAGGCTAGTCAGCTTGATTTTGTGCGTCAGATTATGAAACATAAACCATAAACTTGCAGGAGAATGAGCAAGATGGTTACGCGCCTTTGAGAGCTGTTGTTACTGGATATAGAATTGGAAACCTATTAAGATCTTACGTATTAGATCAAGAGGTCATGTGTCATAAACATATCTGAGTCAGACTTGTCCTAGTGAATAGTCACGCTTGACTGATTGATCTACGTTACTACTGAGTGTGAAACATAACTACTAGGAACATATCAATATCTACCATTACTCTTAAGCTCTTTTAGTCTGGACAACTTTTAAGCTATTCCAGATTTCGTCTGCCAGCAAGGATCAAAGAACGCCCTTCATTATGCTGCTGCAAGGAAGAGTTAGATCATAAATGAATTGATTCGACTTGTCCGAAATCTATAACAGATGTGACCAGCTAGGGGAGACTGCACTTCACCTGCTGTTGAAAAACAAACCTCCCTGCTTTAGCGTCCTGTCAACTGGCTGGAAAATCTGAAAGAGAAAACGGTCATAAATTCGGGATCGTGATGGGAACTCTGTCTTGCATCTGCAGCTGCTCGAAGACAATACAGTGTAGTAAACAATTCGCAGTTTTAGCTAATCTATTATCCTCTATGATTCTGTTTCTGCAACAATTTCCATCCGTTTCTGATCTAGTATCTTATTATTTTTCTTGGGCAAATTTCTTTCCTCCAAATAAGTTAGCATTGACTGATAAAACTATGCATGTTGCAGAGTCTTGAATTGCTTGTTGGTAAGAACAATGTTTTCAATGGAAATACTAGAAGTGAATGCCCCAAAAGGGTCTCACTGCAATGGATATACTAGATATAGTCATGAAGAACCCAACGATATACAAATCAGGAAAATCCTTCAAAATGACATGGTAATTGCGGAAAAGAAACATTCCTGGCATGACCTTGCAGATAAGCCATTAAAGGATTGGTTCAAAATTTCAAGTTTCAGCTGGAAAGAGATTCACAAGCGACACTCGAAATGTACTGCTAGTGGTGGCTGCATTGATTGCCTCGGTCACTTTCCAGGCAGGCCTGAGCCCTCCATCCGCTTGCTAGAATATGACTCGCAATCAAATCCAACATTCTTAACACGACAGGTTGGACGCAGTAACATCTGCGGCAGCAGCTGCCTCTGCATTATTAGGCACTCAGGCAACATCGTATCTGTTCCTGTTTTGGAACTCTTTGGCCTCATGGCATCACTCAGCATCATAAATATCTCACAGGGGATTTCCTTCCAACGGAGCTTCTCATTTCAATATTTCCATGATGTTAGCTATGGATTTTCAATTACGGTATGACAGAAAAAGATGGTGTTGCATATGCCTTCTCACTGTCGCCTTTGTTCTGCCATTCGCTTTACGGTGGCTTCCAACTTGGGTGAACAAGGCTTGGAATTGGTGGAGAGGACCTCCAACAAGTTGGTCTTTCCTAGCAATTTGGGGTTGATCCGAGTCTCGGCCACAATTTTTGGGAAAATTATGAAACCCTCTTCAAGATATGCCAATTGTTATAGTTTGTTCTAAAATAAAGAAAACTCCTATATCTTGAAATGTATACCAATAAAGCATAAGTCGCAATACTCTGTTTTCTGTAAAGGGTTTACCCTGTTCGAATAATGAAATGATTCTAATTGTCAAAAAAAAAAAAAGCATAAGAAAATGGATAACATAAAAAGATAAAGTGTAATGATTTAAACAAGGTTAATATAGGTTGATTATTCTTTGGCCGTACCCCTGAAAATTGAAAAGCAAAGAACAGTGGTAAACTTGTCTACGTTTCTCTTCGTTTTCCTGTTGGTTTCCTAGAAAATTCTCATCCCAAACGAAACATCCTGTTTGATTTCTTTTAGTAAGTTTTCCATGTTTCTTAAAGCAGAATTTATCACAGCATGAACATCAAGAATTGAGCAAAACATTTTTTTAGTATCTTCAAAAGGTTAAAAGGAATCCGGTCTACTGCTGGGAAATAGTCATAACCCATGAAAGTACCTTGATAGTTCTTAGCTACCAATCCATGACCAGTTGACGCCACGTATCTTTGTAAATTTTTAAGAGATTTATAGCTTGGATTCAGAGTTCAGACTAATCAAACCCCAACTTGTCTTAGAAAATTTATCTTGCTATTTGATTGTTTCTGTGGCTGTAACAAAGACCGCCCGTATTGACTGAAAACTTTCAATTCCAACCTTGGGTTTCTATTATACGAGCAAATTCCAGTATTCTTCAGTTTGATAGCACAAGAGCATGTTCTTAGAAGCACACGCAAGAGCTGGTTCAATATTTCCAATATGATGAAGGCAAGAGCCGCCAAGCGATGTCCGAAATTCTCCCTGATAGTTGCCACCTCATAGCGGCCGTGACCTTCCAAGCTGGGGTCAATCCCCCCGTGGGTATGGCAAGATAATGACAATGGACATTATGCGCAGAGCCATTTATGCATCTCAAACAGAACCCTTCTACGTTTTCTTGATCTCGAACACCCTCGCTCTTTCCCTCATACTTGTCATCATCTCTCTCCACCTACGGTTCCCTTCCATCTCGAAGTCATCGTGCCACGATCTCGATGATCGTGACTTATGTTCCGCGGTTTTGCTGTTACTCCGCGTGAGTTCGTGAAGTTTCGTTATGTCATGGCTGCAGCTGCAGTCCCCTTTGCAATACGGTGTTTGATTCAGATGTTCAATAAGTTTAGGAAGACTAGGCGATGGAAGAACACTGTATCAAGCTTGCTAGACATAACCACATGCCTGTGGAAATATGGGTTACACCCGACGTAAATGAATAATTGTAACACTGGCGAACATTTCCTTGATCATATTTCCAAATTTGTATCCCCTTCTGCTTCATTTCCTTCTTTTCCCTTTGATAATTTGAAAGATCTGCCAATAGTTTTTGATAAGGGGAATCATCATGTATAGACTTTAATTACTCTAATATTTGCTACCAAACAA